ATATTACCTAATTCCTGCCTTAAAACAAAAAATAAAATGAGCTTAACTAATGTTTTCAGTATGATCTCTGCCTATATATGTCAGGGAGGTTTTTTTCCACTATGATTATGATCTGCTGCTCAATTTTCTGTCTTAGAGACCACTGATTCCCAACTCTCTGCTCTATGCTGCTAAGCAGAAAGGATTCAGGATTTAGAGCCATGCTATCCAAGGGAACTTCTGTGACATTTGAAGTACTCTGTATTTGCCTCTATTCAGTATTGTAGCCCCAAGCCACATGTGGCTTACTATTGACCATTTGAAATGTGACTAATGCAACTGAGGAATGGAATTTTTCCATTTTAATTAATTATAATTAAATAAAGGGATGTGACTCACGGTTATACAGTATTGCACAGTGCAAACTTGAGTCACCCTTTTGGAAAAAGTAAATTTTGGTGAATTTGATTCACAAAAAGATCCACTATGGTCAAAGTGTCATATGCACAATATTTCCTGTGAGATCTTATTACATTCTTTCTTTACTGAAACCAGTAGTTTTGCCCTATGTAGTCATTGCCCATATACTATTGTTAATTCAGGTATACACAAAAGAAAACTAAAAAAAAATTATCTGCAGGAATTGGAAGACTTCTTCTAGAAAGTGACTTTTCAACTTAATATTAAAGGAAAGAAAGGTCATCCTGGGGTTGAAGGCTAAGGATAGGTAAGAGGAGAAGGAAGAAGTTTCAGGCCAAGATGAGAAAAGTATGCCACAATCAGGAAATACTGGATAGTTCAGAATAACTTGCATGCAAGATTTCTTTGGGGAATACTGGATAATTCAGGATAAGTTTGCATACAAGATGTGTTTGTGAGAAGCAAGAGGAAAAAGAGAAATTTAGAAAAATATAAAAATATTCATAGTGTCAAGAACTATTTTTTATGTAATTTATGGAATTTTTCACAAAATAAATGTTCATTCTATCACATATATGTAGAGTATTATTTTCTTTCCATTTAAAAACATCATTTATGTTTTAATCATTAAGTAAAATAACTAAAATCGCAACATTATTGCCAAAATTTATTACTTGGACAAGATTGAGATTTAGGAAATTTATTACCATGATGTCACCAATGGTTTATAATTTATAAGACTTTGGATTAGACATTAGCACAGTTATTATTTCCTTTAATGCCTTACCTCACCACAGTCTAATAACATTCAGGAAATCCAAAAGACAAAGGGGAAAGAGTAGTCTTGAAAGCTAAAAATAGTCGTTGAAAACTGATGCAATCATGTAATAAAATATGGCACAATAACTTACCCGATTCGCTCATGTATCTGCTAAAGCAATTAGAGTCCACGCAGCTAGATCTTTGTTCATGTATTACTAAACATGAAAACTGTTTTAGCCCAAGTAAGACATATAGGCTATAAGTTAAATTGTGTACATTGGCCTTAGGATATTCAGTCTTACTATTTGCACTTGTGATTTTCTTCATATTCTTCGAAAACAGAAAATCACTGGGTAGCAATCAGATTTCAAAAGGCTTTACAGGTACAGCTAGACAACGAACTAACAACATAGGATGTCAACATACAATTATACTAAACAGTGTTCTTTCACAGTGAGCCAATATATTTATACATCTAATAGGTCTTGCTCATTGGAAAATAGAAACATCAATATTGATATCTTTATATCAATAATATTAAAGTTATCAGATACACTAAAGAGGGTTGTCCATTTTAATTAAATATTTTGTACAAATTCCATTAAATAATATAATTTTATAAATACCCAACAAATAATTTTAAAGGATTGGCAGTTATGTTCATTTCAAAATAAAATCACATATTTAAAAATCATTATTTTTTTCTAATTTCTTTTCTTTTTTAAATTTTTAATTGATTTTTAAAAAATAAATGAAAGGGAATGCATTACAATTCTTATTGCACCTATACAGCACAATTTTTCATATCTCTGATTATCTATAAAGTATGTTCACACCAATTCATGTCTTCATATATGTACTTTGGATAATGACTGAAACCAGTAGTCATTACTCATATACTATCGTTAACTCAGGTATACAGAACTGATATCATTTCTGAAATGACAATCATTCAAGTAAATCATTCAGAAATGATTCATTGTTTAGGAATGTTTTTCAACTAGACACTTGTTCAACTTTAGGAAAGGACAATTTTTGAAGCTGTCTTAATTTTTACTGATGAAAACATAGGCAGACATTTTTATTGTGGTATAAGAGACTGATCAGCATCATGAGACAGAATTTTACTGCAGCAACTATGAACAATGGAAAAGAGAAAATCATTTTTGAAGGCATAGTAAGTATATTTTATATGGCATTATAATGCATCTTCACATCAGCCATGAGATTTTCTTATCCTATTACGGATGAGGAATCTGAGTTTTAGAAGGGTTTAGGGACTTGCCTGAGGCCCAGAGCTAATAAATGGAAGAGCCAGGGATAACACCCAGCTCTGTCCAATTTCAACATCCCTAGACACCATTACCACATGTAATGGGTATGAATTTTATACTACCAACATTTATATGCAAGAAATCTTGTTTTGCGCCCCTATCCAGAAATCAAATTACATTTATTTCAAGCCCCCATCTCACTGAGCTGGAAAGGAAATTCAATTTGTTCTGCCCCTCTATAGTACTATATAAGAATATAGGAGATTTACATGGTAGACACTCAGTAATGTGGGTAAAAATTACATTTACAAGAAAGATATTGTATATCAGTAAAGGAGGTGCTCAACTTAGCATTTATTTATGGAGTTGAATAAAAAGGAGGAAAGGTTTGTACAGATTACCTGACACCATGACGAAGGATAGTTTTTCATCTTTTCTTGAACCATAACTGATATGCTTAACTTCTCTTCCTATGAAGTTTAATCCTCCACCTTGTAAATCAAGTATTACATGAGATTGGAAGTATTTCTCATCTACCTTGGCATTGTCTGATTGACCTGGACATATGATCCCAGACATCAAATGCCTCATATGAGTGGATAGTCTCCCTGTCTTTGTCAGTATAGTAAAATATCATAAGCACAAGAAATGATCAGAATTTTTGTAACAGTATTGTCCACCATACTACCTCTCCCTGCTGCTTCCTTTAACAAGTAATTAATAATATCATACACAAATTTTAATAACAGTTTTTTATGATCCATGGCAATCAAAATGTAATCTAAATATTTAGAGGTTCTTTTATGTTTTTATTAGAATATATCAATTAATTCCAGATATAATATTAATATTTATGTGCCTATGATAAATTATTTTTCTGAACAAGTTTAGTATTTGTTGAGTTAAGGAACTATCTTTAATACTTCTTTTATATTACATTAGGAAATTGATAATAAGGGTAACAACATGTTAAATTTTCATAGTATTTTTTTAAAGTGGTAATATGAGCTGTAGTTCTATCTTACTGGTTTAAAGTGTTTTGTATAATTTTTTAAAATTTATATAAAAAGTCTATGAGGCTAAATATCTTAATCTAAATTGATTTTGAGGGACAAGAAACTCGGAGATATGGGATGGTGACCCAAGATCCAAACCTGATTTTTATCTGGCTTGGCTGGGTGCCTGACTCACTACCCTTCCCACAACAACTTGGCACAATTCTGATTAAACCTATAATATTACACAATGTAAATTTTAGAACTAAGCTAAAGAAACATCATTGCAAAAGGACAGCTAATTTCTAAATACACGATCGATACAAGGAAAGAATAGAATAGATAATTCTCACTCATACAGTAATAAAACCAAAGAGTACTTTTGGTTTACTTCCTTTTTTTATTTTCCTCTTTAATTCAAATGAGTTTTAAGAGTCATAATTTGAATTCCTGCCATTAGCTCCATCAGAAGTATTAAACATTAAAGAAAGTGATCCTTACTGATCATAAAATGAACACCATTTACTATTCTAAGCTAGAAAATACTTTTGTGTGAATGGTAGAGAAATTGCCAAAAAAGCTATTTTATTTCAGACTATGGATAAGTTAATGTTCTACTGGAAAAAGCATACATATTCTGACCTAATTAATTCCCAGGGCACTTGGGTCTGAAAGAGTGCTCAGAAATTTTTCCAAATTTATTCCACTGTCACATATAGGTTGCAGTAGCTAGACACATCTGACAACAGGTCTCAGTCATACATTAGTCACCTCTGTATCGAGGTTTTTGTTGTCATGCTTTCCCACACACATTCTACCTCGGGACATGAGCGTATTTTTATATGTAGTCAAAAGTTCATTTCTGTCTCTGGGTACTTGGGCCCCACTCGAGCAGAATTCCCTGTGATAAAAATGTGCTTATTGTTCTAATGACATCATTTCCAGTTTCACTGGGCCTAATATTCAGTTTGATGTTTTCGTTCTTAGAGGCAGATAGGGATAGTTTCAGGAACCTCCCCTGCTGCATGTGCAAGTTTAAAATACAGGAGAAACATGCATGCACCACAGTTTACAAACAACAGAGTGGGGAAATAATTGCTATGGCTATTTAGCACTTTGTAATGTAAGCTCTACAGAAAAGTAAGAGTATGATTTATTCTAGACATATAATCTTATGGATTGTTACTTTTTTTTAATCCAGGAAGAAACTTAAACTTTATTTAAATTTAAAACTCTTTCTTCAAGAGCCATTAGGGTAGGTCTTGATGTACCTATGTGAGAATTTCCTATCCTGACACATTCCGTTCTTTAGAGTTCATTTACATATTATTACTTATAATATGCAAACTGCTATTAAAAATCCAGCTAAGTATAAATTTGGCTAATACCAGCTCTTTTTTATCCACTTAATTTATTTTCTCATCTCTGAAGTTTACACAAATAAAAACATTCCTTGTTTTGGGATGCGAATCTTCAACCTGTATAATAAACTGACATGTTGAAAACACTTTGTCTTATAAATGAAATGAAACCCTTATGAATGAAGCCCTTCTCTTGTTTTAACCTACAGGACAACATTTTTAAACTGGAGGACTCACATTTTGAAAATGGCCGTGGGAAGAGTCCTTATGACCCTAAGCTGCTGACAGCATCTCTTTTAATAGGTATGTAGTAAAGGATCAATTAACAGTGAATCTGTCATAAAAAATAACGATGTGGCCTGTTTATTTTTTACCTACAAAGATATTTCACTGTTAATCATAAACAATCTTAGCAGGAGAACATCAGTTGTGATATGCTCAAGTATTTTAAAAATAAAGAAAAAAAAGCAACACTAAATTCTCTTTTGGTAACTGCACTTTCAAGTAGGATTCTTTTTGTTGTGATGATTTAGTAGCATCTTTTAAACGGCCTGCTCAGCTGGGAATGCAGTTTAGCAGTAGCCTAGCATGTGTGAGACCCTGTGTTCAATCCCCAGTAGTGCAAAAAATTTAAAAAGAAGAAATGCAAATAGTCTGCTTAATCAATATACAGTCCCACTTAAACTTCAGTATTAATTTGATAAAAAATTTTATTTTCATCTCATAAAAAGTTGCTTAAATGAAGAATCTTGAGAAATTATTAAGAAACAATGCCATTCATTCTACCCTGTTAAATATGTCCAAGATCTATAACTGCCTGAAATTTTGGACAACTTGTTCCACACAATCAGTGTAAATGGCAGCACCTTTGGCAAAGCCCTTTTGTGTTGCTCAAGTTTTCTCACTATCTTGTTTGCTAGAACACTCTTAAGGAAGCCATTGTGTGTCCACTTTTATGACGTTAGGCTTTCTTTTAAAAAATGTGCCACAACATTTTGTGATTTCCTCTACTTTTCCTCTTACCATGTTTTCTTCAAGCTTTCCTTTATCCTCTTTTTCTTCAGGGTTGCATTAGTGGGTCAGGGGTGTTCAGGTATACTTCCAATGGTCAGAAGTGGGGTGATGGAATTAGGTAGAAGTAGGAGATAATGTTAGTCTGTATTGAAGGATAAAGAATATTTTGTATATCCTTTTAACCATCTCCATACTGTGATTAAATAATTACACAGATAGTGATCAATATTGAAGTAGTATTTCCTTCCTTCTTCCTTTTCTTTGTATTTTGCTTTTTATTTCTTTATTTTTTGAGGCTACCAACAGCATAACATATGAAATATTCTGTGTTGTGAATCTGCATAGTGATACAGAAATGGTGTACTTTTGCCCTTTTGCTATAAAATATGGAATATAATTATTTGATAGCACAACCAAATAATGTGAAAATTTCAAGTACAAAATTTCTAGTTTAATATTAAATCTAGATTTTAAAAAATTAAATTATTATCTGATGTGTCATAAATTTGTATACCTTTTCATCATTTTCCCTTTATAAATAACTCCCTTTGTACTCAAGAAAATAAAATTCTAGTCATGTAGCCTACCACATTAACTATGAAGATAAATTTTTCCACTATTATGTGGTGTTTACTTTATCACTAATCCCTATTCTATTAAGAATAAAACCACTTCAGCATAAATCATCTCTATTGCTTTTCAGATCTAGACAATTGTATTCCATTTGATCCATTTATGCAGTACTTTAACAACAGTTTAAGACCTGGAGGAATGTAGCACACATATAATTTTCCTATTCGAAGGTAGCCTAGTGATTACATGTGAATGCCTTCCTCAAGAGCATATGCTGAAACCTGAAACTCATCTTAAAAATAGGAGGAGCCATACTTTGTTCTGACTTGCAAGTCTATACTTATTCAAATTTGAACACTTATTTAAATTTGAACACTGAGAACACCCAAAAAGCAGCATGCAGAAGTGTGCATAGAGCAGGTTTAGTTTATGGTATGCTTCTCAGTAGAATTTTGCTTGATTATTTATTTTAATATTCCATCGAGACAGGATGATGACAGGTAGGTATTACATAGCTCCCATGGTATGAAACCATGCAACATTCACAAAGAATATGAGACTTCACAAGTTTGGTTTTTATATTACAATTTCTTTGAAAAATCTGTATAGGTTTTATGAAAAGGAAGAGGATAAGAGAAGGTCAAGGAGCCAAAGAGAGGAAGTGTAGTTGAGAAAGAACAATAGACATTTCAGAAGAACAACCTTGGCATGGAATACCTAATATGGGAAAATGACCCAGTAACTTTCAGAGGTAGAAAGTGCTTATTGACAAGGCCAAAAAAAATTAATTTTTGAACCAAAAATTTAAAAAAAAAAATAAACAGCAAGATTCAGAAAAGGAACAAGCTCTACTAGATCTGGTAAAAATACCATTGGTTCAAGACCTATAACTTTCTTTTTGGAGTTTGTTTCCTTTATAACTATGTTAGTAATTCTTCTTACAGTACATTTAATTGCCCTTGTTGAGATTTTCTTGGCATTTTTTAATGCTGCTTTAAAAAGAATGCTCACTAGCTTAATAGAGGTTTATAGAATAAATATTTTCTACAACACTTCCCAAACTCTTTTTAAAATGGGGGTAACAGCTGTCTCTGAAATATACAGGTTACTCTCTGTATATCAGAAAATGGTCATTAGGAAAGCCTATTTGCCCTCCTAATCTGGAGACGTTTCCATCGTAAAATAAAAATTTGAAGGTGGTTCCAGGTTGCTTCCTTCCCCAATACTGGGATAAAACTCCAGGTTTGGCTCAAACCATCTGTAAGCTGGCCAGGTGGGTTTTTGTAACAGATATTTTTTAAACCACCAATCCCAGTATACAGCAGTTTCAACTAGTCGTATACTTTAAAACCAGATGACAGCTGAAAAACTTAGTTTACACAGACTATCAAGGTTTGGTATAACCTCTTTCCAAAAAGTCATGGATTTTTAAACTGATAACCATAGAAAATATGATTTCTCACCTAAGTGATGCACACTTACTGAATTACTTAATTCAGTAAGTGTGCATTAATTAATTAATTCATGATAATCCTGTATCATGTCCTAAGTTTTTCAAATCACCTTATTAAAGTTAATTTTGCCAATCTTCTTTAATAATGATCATTTTGTCAATATAAAGTTGCTCCAGAATTTATTTTTAAAATATTTCTGATTCTTTCCACCTGCAAAATATTTTTATGTCTTTGTTTGAAATTTCTTTATTAAAGATAGCAGTTGCTCCCCTGCTCAGAATAAATGCCAGGTGTGAACACATCACAAGAATAAAACCTAGTATTTTCCACACTAATTAAGTACCATCTCACATTTTCATGATGTGAAAAGAATAGTCAACTTGAGAGCAATTTTATTTCCTTATTGAAATCTTTTCCAGGCAATGCAGCACTAATAATTTAGAAATATTCCATCACTAAGAGATATTATTGAAGTCTATTTCAAAGGTCTGGGACTTTCATTTAAGGTTTATATCTTTAAGCTGGAATTTTGCCTTGACTCAGGAAAGAATATAATTTAACATTAGAAAATGGTCTCTCTGGGTGTTAGAATAAGTAAGGTACTCACTCCCTAAATTAATTAAATGAAATTGAGAAAATTATTTGAACCTCTCTGAACCTTAATTTCTTTGCACTTAAAATTGTCTGCCATACTAATTCTACTAGTTTGTTGTGAGAAGTAAATAAGACAGTTTAATGGTGTGCTACCATTTTCGGTGTTTGCATATCTCTGGAATATGTGTAAAGTAGAAACAAACAAACAATAACAACAATAGCAAACCTAGTAGCAGAGGCCCCCTGTGGGTAAACTGGAAAGCTGATTAGGTCTATTATAAATTTTGTATTTTTAATTCTGTGCCATATGCACATGTTACTACTCAGAAAATGTTAGTTTTAAAAGAACAACAGAAGTAACGAGCCAGCATGTGGTATTTATTGGCATAGGGAAGGAAGGTGCTCAATAAATGTAAAACTGTAATATTATTGCCACATTTTTCCATTCCAGGGAATTAATTTTATCTGTGATGTGTGTGTGTGTGTGTGTATGAGAGAGAGAGAGAAAGAGAGAGAGCGCTTGAGAAGGACAGAGAAAGGGAAAGGGAGGGAGATAAAACTTTTTTTTCCCTTCTGTTTCTAATTACTCTTCTACCCTGTGCGTGGAGTTTACTTGAGGTGTTAACAACGGAAAGTCTTGGTCTTTAAGTCTTTTTGATTTTTGCTCACTTTCATGACACACTCTTTACCTATGTTAGTAAGGCTGCAATTTCATCAGGAAATGTTTTTTGTTTTTTGTGTTTTGTTTTCCCGCCTCTGTCTCTTCACCACACCCTTCTTAGGAATGGTAATCTGATATATTAACTAATCTAAGCCACATTTTCTACTTCTTTTTGAATATGAACAGAAAGTCTAAAGTGCATATAAATCTTTGTTTTTAATACGTGCTTCTCAGGTAACTCGACCATGATGGAAATATAGTTTGCAAAAGTTTCTGTTCTTCTCCTAGAAAATATTTTCCTTAAAGACAGGTCAAAAAACTTAGGAAAGAATAGAGGTATACTCAAATAGCCATTTCATTTTTCTTTCAAATTCTTTTTTTTTTTTTTTTGGTGAAGATGAACCTTTATTTTATTCATTTATTTATATGCAGTGCTGAGTATAGAACCCAGTGCCTCAGACATGCTAGGCAAAGGCTCTACCACTGAGCCACAACTCCAGCCCTCAAATAGCCATTTTTATCTTTGGCAATTTCCAGATGGTTAGTTACAACTGTCAGCACTAATTTACCTTAAACTAATATGAATATTGTTGAGACATCAAAATGCCCATGTGGTGGTTTTTTGTAGAGTCTTAAAGATCTTATTCGACAGAGAATGCTAAACCATATATGTGTTTGTGTATGCATTTGTGTTATATATATAATTGTCTTATACTTAGATACATTAAAAATCCTTGAACATGTTATTTTATCATCAATTTAATAAAATTGGACAACTGTCACATTTCCTTTCACTAGTGACTTAGTGAAAACCTCAAAAATGTGTATCACAAATGTAATGCCATTTGAATCATTGCAGAAAAACCTTAACCTTATACACTACTTCATATTTTCAAGAAAACTTATATTTAGGGTCATAAAATTGTCAAATTAACACTGTGCTCCAGAATCAACATATAATTTGATAATTTATTAAGTGACCCAGAATGTACAAAATATGTTTGGCCAATAGGTTTTCATTCTAGATATATCTGTTATCCTAAAGTAAGCCCAAACTAGGGTCTGCTAAATTTTTTGTAGTCGGATATTTTTAGATTATTTCAAAGAGCCACAGATTATAACACCTCTTTAGTGCACAGTGAAAATGTTCGAGTCTACTAATTGGCATGTATGCTGGTTGATATATTTTTTTATTTCACAAGAAATAAGCAAAATTTTACCACCTATATTTATGGGCAAAACCAATAAAGACATCATACTTATTTGGAACAATCAGCCCAGATTAGAGTCCCTACAGAAATCTCTCCAGCAATCTCAACAGGAAATCTGATCTAAGGCCTGGTACAAAGGAACAGTAACTTGCATTGAGTAAGAACAGTAAGAGAAAGTGCCCTCATGGCCACCTAATCATCTGGTTGCCTCCAGCTCAAGAATATCTGGCTATTGCTAAAAGCATTATGTGGGTGGGAGATAATTTCCTATGACTGGAGGCAAATGGTTCCTAACCTGGGAACCTCCTTTCATTTATAAGACAACATTTTAATTTAACTGTTTTAGGAATGTTGAGCGAATAGCTCTTCTACTGAACACCTTTTCTAATTTGAACAAGTTTCCTATTTACTGTAAAAAGAGTAATAAAGTCAGTCTCACTACCTTTTTCTTCATTTCTATTGATCTTTGCCATCTTCACATAAAAGCAAGTAAAACAAGTTATAATATTACCAAAAATTGCTAAGAGCAGCGCTCTACCTCTAAGTAATAATTTCGTTGTTGTCATTCCAATTCTCTCTTGACTAGAGTTTGTGTGTAATAACAACCCAATTATGAATTTCATTTACCCTAAAGAAGCTAACTGACAGAATGATTAATCATTGGCATTTGTGACTCCACCATTTCCGGGCAAATCCCCTGTTGAGCAGAGCCTGTCTGATGTTAAATTGCTGTCTTCACCTTTTCGTCATTCTGCTTTCACTTGCCCTGATTTTCACCATCTTGTGTGGTTCATGGGCAATGAGACGCAATGAAAGAGTCACAGCTTTTGATTGTTCAAGGTAAAGAAGAGCCAAAGCTTCCTCCCACAGGTGTTCCAACATGAAACTGTTTAAAGTCGATAGGACTTTCACATGATATTTTTACCTAACATCCTCTAATTTGCACACACAACAAAAAATCATTCACCTAATGTTTAAAATTATATCACATTTATGTATCAATCTTTGTAAAAAGATAAAACACTAACTTTCATAAAAATAGGGGTTAACAATAAATAGACAATAGGCCTTTAAATATTTCAAAGGACCTTTTGAAGTTTATTAGGTAGCTGACTTGTAGTATTTTTGAGCTTTAGAAAAGTGTATTCGTTTAACTGTAGTCAGGTAAAACATTATCATCATATTTCAATGTGGGCAAGTCACATTTGCACTTGAAATTTAATTAAGAAAATGCAAGATGCTTTTGAAACCCAAAGATACTTTTCTCTGACATAAGATGATATATGAATATTCTCTATTTAGCTAATAATCTGAAATCAATATATTGTCTAAACAATGTTTGTTTAACTTCAGTCACAATAATCCAAAATATGAGAACAACTTTTAGCAGTTTTCAGGATAAGGTATCTACCTACATGAAAGTTTAAAGCAATAACTTATTTTTCAGTGATTTTTCTCTTATAGCTATTTTCCATTGTTTTAGAGATTCTTCAAAATCAAGTCCATTAAAACAAATAGTGAGCCAAAGGATATGATACAAACTTGCTTCAGGTTGGACAACTGAGAATATCTATTTTACATTGCAAAGTTCTTGTCTAGGCGTGAAAAATAAAAATGGAAATACAGAAGATCATCTAAGGAATCAAAAGATTAAAAAGATTTGCCCAAAGACATTTATATATGAAGATTCACTGTTTTCCATTTATCTAACATGAAACTACCTAGGAAATAATAGTACTAAACAAATGTTTATGTTATGATCTATCTAGGCCCTCTCTACTTTCTGAATATTTTCTAGCAAAACCATTAGCATAGTAGTTATCAATAAAATAAAATTAAGGTTTACTATAATTATCGTGGATTGTTTGAAGAAATTTTTTTCATTTTTGTTGTTTTGTTTTGCAAGTACATTAATTCACTGTAAGTAGGCAGGCAGTTATGTGTTATCTGGAAGAAATAATAAGAGACACTTTCTGATTCAAGCAAGAAAACACAATTTTTACAGACTTGAATTGTTGAAAGGTGGTATGGTTTAACGTAAAAGGCTTGGAATTAAACAGACCTGTGTTTGAAACTTCAGCTCAACTTGCCTAGGCATTAGCTGAACAGCCCTGGATTTCTTAAACTATAAAATAGGGACAACATTATTTACATCATGGGGACATTGACAGAATTAAAGTGAGATAATTTGAAAGTGTCCAGCCAGTGCCTGACTGCCTGCCAAGCACAGAGTGGTATTCAGTGAACCTAACTGCTCCTTCTCCTGCTATTCTTCCTTTCCCTTTGAGTCTTCACCTTCTGGTAATGATCTCTCTGTTATTAAACTCCTATTGAGAATTAACTCAATTTAATAGTAGAAAGTCAAAAAGCAGTGAAATCTTTAACTGTAGAGATTATTATCTGGGTTTGCCAAAATTCCCTCCTCTTCAAATACATTTCTGTTTGTTGGTGCACTTATTTGGGGTCTCTATGTTAGCTTACACCAACTTCAAACATTTATCCCACCAGATATACTAAAAAATAAAAAGCAAAAAAAAAAAAGTTGGCAAAGAAAATATTGGTCCTTTCAGAATTATAGTAAAATTTCATTCATTCAGATCCTACTAGGAAAAAAAGTACATAAAAAGATTAATTGCCATTAAAATAAGCAATAAGCAAGATTTTACAATAATCTCTTACCCCACTAAATAAGGTTATTAGATCATAGTAGTTTTACACACATAAAGAAAAAAAAGCAATATGATGATAATGAATATAGTTTTGCCTTTTGTAAATTTTGTCACTGGTCTTAGTGGGAAAATAGTAGTTTTGTACATTAGCAGTAGTCACAGAATCAGTTTTTACTCGAATTTTCTGAGTATTAACTGAATAGTCAAGTACTTAATATCTGAATGATCATTTGGTAAAATATTCTTTCAATAAAGACACAGGATGAAATATGAGTAGCTTTGCATAATGATAAACATGCTATTTCCGTCTTCAGTGTGCTCATAACATGAAACTTGTATTATCTTTGTTTTGTTTGTCTTGCCTTAATTGAATTAAATAATACCTATGTGGTTTCATTTTGCCACACCACAGATGGAGAATTATACTCTGGCACAGCAGCTGACTTCATGGGGCGAGACTTTGCTATATTCCGGACTCTGGGGCACCACCACCCAATCAGGACAGAGCAGCATGATTCCAGATGGCTCAATGGTAGGTGGTATGTGCAAGAACTCAGGCACGTAACCTCTGTATTAAATCACTGGGAACTTTCCCTTTATAGTGTATACAACATGACTTGAGATTTAGTGTGTTGTTAAGCTCATGGTGGTGACTTCATGACTGGGTGTGAGAAAGTTGGGCAAAAAGAGAAAAGAGAGATTAAAATTTCAGGAAGTACATGTTTTGTGACAAATGTGAAGTTTCTCTGTAGTTGGCTATGGAAAGAGATCTGAGCTAGAGCTGCGGAAGGGAGGCAATGGAAAAAGATAAGATGGTTTACCCATCCTGTCTTATGGGGACACCACAAAGACTCTCACAGTACAGCATTCTTTTTTCCTCCACATTTCCCCTTATTGCCTTGAGAACATACTATAAGGTACTGAACATCAAAAACATTTTTTTTTCTATTCTAATAACATTATACTGACACTGTTCTTAAAATCCCAAAGGACTTTGTATCATTATTTCACCTGACTTCATATCATTATTTTGCATAATTTCACCTCTAATTTCCTCAAAATCCCCTCTCTCATTTTATAGGTGAGAAAATTTGGGTCAATATGTTATTTAACCCAATAGTCAAAGATTTGTAATAAGAACCTAGTTTCCTGAACTTTAGGCACAGGCTTAATTACTTGAACTAGTAGATTGTTTATTTGTAAATTACTCTTTAACTTTTCTATATTAATTTAACATAAACAAAATGTGTAAAATGCATATGCTTGTAATAAATAAATAATACTTTAATTCAGGTTTTTTAACTAACTGATCCTAATATCTACTTCTATGTAGTGGGAACTTCAGTCATGTTAGTTTTCCTGCCCTTACTTCTGAGAAGCCCAAAATTTATTTTGTCACTTCTTTCTTTCATTGGTCTATTATTTAAAAAAAAAAATCATAACTTGGCCTCTATACCTCAGTGATACTTCAGGGAACCATGAGTTGTGTGTGATGATCTTTGTTCTGATTTAACCCCGTGCTTCAAAGTGACTATTCAAAAACATAAATCAGTCCTCAAGTTACCTCAGTCAGCATCTCTTTCCTCCTGTGCCAACATTTCTGATTGATCTATTATTTTTCATGCATTAGAGACAAAGACAAGACTCTTCGGATGCCTCATCTGTCCCTTCTGCCTTTATTGTTAATTGCATTGGAATTCTTCATAAATTACCCAATTTAAATTTCTTTTGCTCTCCTTATCTCTCTCTCTCTCTCTCTCTCTCTCTCTCTCTCTCTCTCTCTCTCTCTCTCTCTGTCATTACTTTCTTTCAATGACCTGAAATCTTGCACCCCTATCCCACAGGAAACCCTTCTTTTAATCATCATATGTCACAATGTCCCTATATGTTTAAATTTGTAGCTTGGTTAGCATTTTTTTCCTCAATATTTGCACTTCCTTTAGTCACTTTCAATATGCATTTTATCCAATAATCTATCCCTGAGCCACTCTTCCTCCAAAGGTCACCTATGACTTTGTCTAGTTTTTTTTTTTTTTTTTTTAATCAATCTCCATTTAGACAACCTCTCCTGAAGCATATGCCACTGATAACTAGCCCATTCTCAAAACACTGTTTTCTCTAAACATGGCTCCAGTTCCACACTGATGTTTTAAATATAGATAGTCCCTAAGACCATTCCTGATTGAGTACAAACACTGTGGGCATGAAGTCAAATAGCTCCTCCTTGGAGTAAAGGAGGTATAGTGCTATCTGGGTGACCATCTGAGAAACTGAAAGCCTCACCAAGAGAAAAACAAGACACTGAGTTGAAAACAAGGGTGTGTGTAAAACTCCAAGAGCCCAAAGGACAACTTTGGAATATTTACCATTGATTATTAAACCTGGGATGTGTATGGAGGCAAAATGAATCAGGAAAAAAAAAAAAAAAAAAAAAAAAAAAAAAAAAAAAAACTCCATTCAGCTTTACTGTCTGATCTGTTCTCAAATGGAAATATTTGTGTGAAAGAGAGAATGTTTGTTTTTTATGCACAAGAAGGTGACTTTGATCTGCTAAGGACTGTGAGGGGTAAAAAGGCTTTCACTGTCCGTGAGAAAAAAAATCTCATTAGAAGATGGAATAACATAAAGGAGAGTGTAGTATCCATTTCATTTTTATGGCCTTGGAGGAAAAAAGTCATCAAGTTAAAGCTGCTTTTATGCTGCACGCTTGCATGTTGACAGCTGAGTCTGAAGAATTTACACTGTGGGAAAACACAGTCATTGTCCGCAGCTCTGTACTTCATCTTTGAAAATGTGTAGTTCATTTGAGAATTCAGTTATCAGTCTCTCAGCACTAAACGTGAGAACTGATTTCTCCAAATTAGCACAGAGGTTCCATGTGACAGGGTGCAGAAACCAGGCTGCTATGAGATGGAATGAAGGGCCTGGAGAAATCGAATACCATCTCAGAATGAAATTGGAAACACAGTGTTTACACACTCATGCATAAAATAAATGAGCTTTGAGGAATCAGCACAGACTACACAATCATCTGTGTTGCCAGAAGGAATAAATTGCCTTGTAAGGTATTTTTTTCCAGGGGTCTTTGAAGCTATTAAATGAATTTTGGCATATGCTTTACTTTACTTTTCTCAAATAGGTTCAACTCTTTGGAAGAATTAGTTCATCTCTTTTAGATGGCTCTTAATTTTTTTTTCCTGCTCAAAAGAGAAAAACAAAATATAACTAAACTAAACTAAACAAACAAACAAAAAAGAAAAGAGAAAAACAGCCATCTAGATTTGGAGCCTAAAATATCTTAATTTTTTTAAATAATGGAATTTTACTGCTTCCATAATTATTATTTATTTTGCATTTTTAAAACAGTGCCAATAATGTTTCAATTATAGTTTTAATGGAAAGAAATGGGAAGGAATGAAAGACATTTTTAAAAGATGGAGAATCTACTGAGTTTTTACATATTAATATATAACAATATTTTAAAAAATTCTCATCATGTACACGAATCCCTATTTTAAGTTTGCAAGGGGTTAGAATGACTTTTGACCTCATAAAATACTAGTGTGTGAATTTGACATGATATACCAAAATTCACTGTGTTTTTCTTGTGCTACGTGAATGTTCTTGATATGATATGATTTTAAACTTCAATTACAATTTCAGCTTACATTAATTTGAAATAAAGTAAATTTTTTCTGTGTCTATTTATAGTAAAATAAGCAATATAAGTAAATGAATTTATGCTGCTGTGATAGAATTTCTTAACATTAAGTCTGCAAATACTACTATAATTATTGTACTCATTACCCATTCATTAGAGCAGATGAAGGGCTAGTTCACATTTATTTTTCTATTTGATGAAGACTGTTTTCCAATATTGTTTATCTTGGAATAATGTTGGGATGCCATATGATTTGAAAGAATGACTTTCAAATCTTTAAAGTAATAAAATTTTCTCTTGACTTTTGACCTTATGTATAATGAAAAGGTAATACTACCTACCTCGCATAGTCATTTTTTTTTAAATGACCACATAACAATATAAAAAAAGAAATGAGCAATGGCTTGGCATTTAGTAAGCACTTAATAAATGTTAATTATCTCTATATCCTTTTCTCTTCACCTGGGTGGAGCATGCTTGGCAAGCTTTGTCAGATTCATTCTGTGAGTGATTATAGTTGAGCCAGGGTGAAAGGGCAGCCTGCGTTGGGTCTAATATATGAAACCACATGGAAGCCTGAGAGAGCCAAGGCCCGGTGAACACAAACAGAACTAATTACAATGCCTGAAGTGTGAGGCCTTCCCACTCGTTTCAGGAAGACCTGTTTTCTTTTAGCGGAATTTCCTAAAAGGATCATGCCTGTGGATAGACCAACCCACTTGTTTTTTTTCTGTAATTGGAATGGTATGCTAGTCATGGTTCCACTTCCTCTGCCCTGTAACATTCATACCATGCTGGTTGGCCCTCACTGGAATCAGCATCATTTCCTCTGTGGTCACGTACTAGGATATTGCATGTTCTCCTAAGATTCAAATTTCTCCACAAGATTTGTTTTTAGAAAAATAGAACCAAGAAACATGACTGCAGATAAACTCTGAGTGTACAAATTGATATTATGTGGTATCAGATACCAGTCTCAAATCACTCATACAGCTCTTTTAATAAACTCTTTTAATTCAACCTTGTTTGAAGGTACTTTTTTATTCTTTAATAAGTAAAATAAATTACTCAGTTTTGCCTAATGTCAGACTTCTTAATGATGTCATTTCTCTAGCTGAAGTAAATTAGTAATATTTTTCTGATCTTTGGAGAAAAAGCCCTCTGTAAGCCTTGCTTTATGTTTATATGAGCAGATAAATCTTACAGAAGCTGAGCGATGATTCAGTTAAAGTAGAAACAACAAGGGTTCTTTGTGTCTTTGAAGATCATGAATGAAATAACTAGAATGTAGTATATTTTAGCTTTTAATTATATCTATGAGTTCCCTCTGTACTCACTGTTGTCAATTCTGCAGTATCAGTATATAGAATCTCACAAATAAAAATGACCATATTGGGCTGGGAGTGGGGGTAGTAGTTTGCCTAGAATTCCCAGTACCACCAAAAAAACAAACAAACAAAAAAGGAAATATTTGTGGTTATTTTTTTTTCTGAAATTGAGCTAAAACATGAAAAGGCAATACTTTAAAATAAGTATTTATATCTATACTATTAACTTGGCAGTCATCATTATGTTTTCTCATGAATTCTGTTATGCAAAAAATTTTCATCCTAATAAAGAATGCACTCCCCATAGGAGTAAAATCTTTTCAATAAATAAATATGTACCATGAAATTATTCTATCCTCTAAATGGTTAATAAAATCACTAAATATGACTTTATTTTCCTTAAAAAGCTAAAAGTTACCAGTTGATCTTCTTTTCAGAGACCTAATTTTTTTTTTGTCACTTTTGTCTAGGAAACATTACTTTTAACCAGTTTTATTTGAAATTACATTGCAGAAATGAGGAATAGTGAATAAAACCTTGGAG